AAACAAACCAACACAAACCAATGTGTTAATAAAATGAGATAAAGAATTTTTATGTTTTCACATCAGAGCAGTGGTTCTCAACTGAGTGCACTTTGTTTATTCTTCGTACCCCTGCTTCAACATTTGGCAGACAGACATTTTGGGTTGTCACAACTCAGGGGGAGGGTCTGCTACTGACATCTAATCGGTAGCGGTCAGAGGTGCTGCTAAACATCTCACAATGCATGGGACAGCCCCCACATCAAAGAATTACCTGGCCCATCAAGAAACCTTGCACTGGAGCCCCAAATTAGATGACAGCCCCTGCTAGACCATTCACTAAAAACCTTTTACATACTGGAAAGGAAGGAGGTAGATTCAGAATAAAGCAAAAATATCCAATAGCATCATAAAGTAAATAAAATAAATCTGAACATTGTTAGACTTCTTCCCTGGTTCCTGAACTTCCTTCGGCCTTGCAAAAATTTATACTTTCTTCCTGTTTGTTACTTTGGTCAATGATATGTGTCTTTTGACTGACCTTCCTCCACCCATATAGTTTCAGCCAACTCCCTAAACAAAAGGTCTGTACATTTACCTTAGTACAAAATGTGAATTCTATTTCTGGAGTGAGTCATGAAATGTGAAACTCATAATTTTGCCTTGTCTGCCTGTCTGACTTCTTCACCTCCAACCACATGGCCTCCTTGGTGCTCCTCAGCCAGGTTTGGTAGGGTCCTGCCTCAGGGCCTTTGTACTGTCTTTTCTTTCTCTGGAAAGCTTTCCCCACATATCTGCAGAACTCTCTCCCTGACTGCTTTCTCAAGAATGTTCCCTTCTCATTCAGCTCTTTTCTGTCCACGTTATTTAAAATTGCAAGTCCCTCCCTACATCTCCTCCTCGCTTTACTTATTTTCTGTAGTATTTGTCAGCATCTAACATTTTGTGTATTTGTTTGTTCGTTTGCCTTTCATCCACACTAGAGTGTAAGCTCCATGAGGGCAGGGGTTTTGTGTATCCACCGTTGTATCCAAGCACTCGGAGTAGTGCCTGGTGTGGAGCTCTCAAGTGAAAGAAGTAACTGAGAAGCAAAGAAGCAGTCTTAGACCCAGCTTGTTCTCGGTTAGACACGGTCATACTAGTTGAGAAGCCTTGTGTTTCTCTCTGCCTTCTTATGGTTGGGTCCTTTGGTTTCATTTACTCACTGATAATCACTTGATTTTTAACCGTCATACCTACATTTTGAAATCTGTTCTATTAGAAAAGATAGTAGTTTGTGGAGTAAATTATAGTGACACATGTACACATTAAGCAATACATTGCAATACGTAGCATTCTTTTTTATTTTAAGGAAAATTATAAGCACACAGCTCTAAGTCAGCTGTTTGGTTGGAAGGAGCTGCAGACACCATATTTTCTTGATGCATTTTGCAATTACGTTAAAATAAAACAGTAAAAAATGTGAAACCTCTGGAAATTGTAGAAAGAATATCAACAGACAAAGGTGTATTTGTGACAATAGTAGACATTGATATGATAAATAATATGTGTAGTGATATGTTAATATCAATAATATGTTAATATCATAATATATGATAAATGATAAATAACATTCATCATTACCTTAATGGCTACATAATGTGGCATTCTGTTGTGTATTTGTACACAGTAATTTTTAAAATTTTTCTGAAAATATCAGATACTGTTTACGCTAAAGTGTTTATTTTTGTAGCTCTAATAGCCGGTATCCGGTACTTTACAGTTTATCTGCCCAGTGTCCCTTTGGGATGGGGACTGATAATTTATACAAGATAAGGAACCTGAAGCACAGGGATTGGATGACATTGGCCACACAGCTGGTGGAATGGGCATTCCACCCAGACATCCTCTGGGGCAGAGTGTGTTTATATGTGTTTTTGTTTCATCAGTCCTATAAACATCTTCGTCTGCAGTTAGCTTTAGAAAAGGAAGTACTTGAGATCTCTTATGCTAACCAACACCTCTCCTTTAGAGCTTTTGCTTTTGGCTACTCTGACTTTTCTTAATAAACACTCCAATTTTCTTAAGTATGACTCAAAACAACTGGAGAATTCTCATTTCCCTTTCCTGGCCAAGTTTACTGTCAGAGGGGCACACAATGAAGCTGAAACTCAAATCTAGGTCTTCTGATGCCAAATCCAATCCTTTTTGCTGTGCTACAAAGAAGGCTGACAATACACTTCACATCTTTCTTGGAAGAGGGGGAGAGCCAAAATCAGTACTGTGTCTACAGAGCTATAATTTCCTGCCAAGTTGTGGGGTGAGAAGAGGAAAGGATACAGTCTTTCCAGTAAACAAACCTGGCTCAGAACTCTGGCACCCCTACCAGCTGTGTGACCTTAGGCAGGTTGAGTAACATCTCTGAGCTCCTAGTTCTGAATCTGTAAACTGAGGGTTGATCATAACTATGGTACAGAGGACGGCAAGAATGCAAGTACAAACACCTAGTACAGCGTTCAAGTATATTGATATAAGCATTGTAAGTATATTGATGTGAGCATCTGTAAGCTCTTATTATGGTCATTCCATTTCACAATACAAATCTCATTTCTACCCCAGAGCTTCTTGATCAAGGTTTATTACAGAAAACTGGAGTGTGTATAGGTGTCCTGTGACCATATACAATAACAATAGTTGTCCACTGAATGTAAAATGATCTTTCTAAAAAGGTTGAATTTGTAGACATTATTGAAAATCAGCTGCCTTTTAAAGTTTAGACCTAGCTACTATTTTTCTTTGTTGACTAGTAGTAATAAAGTATCATTCTCAACCATCAGTATAATACACATTGGGCCATTTAGTACTTTGGTAGAATCCTGTCTGCCCAAAGGTACATTTAGAACTCACAGGATGCCTTCTGGATCTCATTACTGCATATAGAAAATATTTCTAAGCTCAGTTGAAAATCTGGTAGAAAATTGATTTTCATTTGGATATTGTTATGCTTGGATAGATGAATTTCTAAGAGGTACCTGCATAGCGAAAAACAGCCCATTTTGCAAAAGATGGACTTTCTTTCCTTTTTGTGTGAATTTGAAAGGAAGTAGAAGAAAGCAAGGTAGAGGGAGGGAGGGAGGGAGGGAGGGAGTGATAGCCTTCTTGCCTTTTGGGCCATATCATGATAATGAGTCCATTGCTTGATCTTTAAGTCTTCAAATCTCCAGTTGTAACATAGGAGTATACAGTGTTCCCTTCTATCCATGGTTTCCCCATGCATAGATTCAACCATCTGCAGATGGAAAATATTATGTGGGGGGGAAGCAATTAAGTGGTCAGAGCAATCCCTCAAACTCTTAGAAGGAGCATAAAGTGCTATTTATATATCCTTTCTTGTGGCAAAGTACCTAAGGCATTTGACTGCTAACCAGAAGGTTGGCGGTTCAAACCCACCAGCCGCTGCTAGGAAGGAAGATTGGGCAATCTACTTCTGTAAAGATATTGCCTTAGAAATCCAAGGAGGGGTCGCTGAGTCAGATCCAACTTAAAGGCAATAAGTTTGGTTTTGTCTTCATTTTGGTACTGGCCTCTTAGAAATTCATCTATCGAATCCATAAAACTATAGGATTATTTTGAAAAAAATATATGAAATTTTCAAAAGCAAAAATGAGAACCTTGACTTGCCATCTCCCAGAACATAGTGTAGAATCTTCCTTGCTGCTTCTGAGCTAGCATCACTTCTCCTTAGGAAACATGAACACTCCTAGAAGCCCGAGTTGAGAAGGGCTTAATTTCTGCGCATAATGGGTTCCACTTAAGGCAATTGTCTTTTTGGTGAGATTTTCCCCTTCTCTTTAGAGATAATGGAATCAGTAATCAGTCTTTGGGAGAGGAATATAAATAAAAACATAAAATGATAATTCCTTTAAGTTGTCTTCTGCCTTTTATTTAAAAACATAAATTGTCAACAAAGCTGAGCTCTGTGCCAATGGCTGGCATGTATTGGGCTGTAGTAATAGTGAGTAGAAATAACCGAGAAATCAAGAGTTTCCTTATAAGGTAACATAGTTACTTTTAATGTAGTAAAGTCTGGATATTTTATACTTGCCTGAATTTTCTGGATTTTTACAAATTTACCATGAATACTGTATTCATCATCTCCTTAAGCTGATGACATACAAAATGAACTTCGATTTCTTTCCTTTTATTTTTCCCCTTTTTGGGGAGGTGGTGCTATTTTCATATAAATGAAAACAACTTTAAAAGAATGTTACTAAAATGCTAAACAAATCTCATAATCCCTTATAAATCAAAGTCCTCATATTCCCAACTTTCCTTTTTGATGTAATTTATAAATGGATGTATGTGTAATATTTAAGCATATAAGTCCTGTTGTAGATACAATTTTGTATTCTTCTTCATTCTCCATTTAATATTATAAACATTTTCTATGTTTCTACATGAAAATGTGTAGTTTTAATCATTAGAATTTATAGTGCCTATATATTATTCTAACCCTATTATATTTCACTTAACTATTTATTTATTGAGCTATAGGCTATTCCACTTTTTCATTTTATTTACTTATTTATTTACATCAATAATACCACAGTGAACCTTTTACTTTCATAGCTATTTCCTTTTGGGGGAGATTATTTCCCCACGTTAAATTCCCAGAAGTGAGAATAATATGAGGTTAAACAGACTCTGGTAGCATAGTGGCTAAGACACTTGCCTGCTAACCAGACGGCTGGCGCTTCAAACCCACCAGCCACTCCTTGGAAGGAAGGTTGGGCAATCCTACTTCCGTAGTAATACTGCCTCGGAAACCCAAGGAGGGGTTGCTATGAGTCGGGGCCGACTGGACGGCACATGACAACAACAACAACAAGCAGACATGGTAAAGCATACATGATTTATGGTTCTTGATTAAGCTCTGATCATTCTAAAATTGATAGTGTTTAACAGAATTATAGATGAGACTCCCAAATGTCACTGAAATTATTGACTTGGATGTGAATTGGCCAGTGTGTGAAGTGGCTAATTTAGAGTTGATATTTCTCCACAACCACAGCAAATACGTCCTTATTAGCGATGCGTGTGAAATCGGGTTATTAAAGAATTTTGGAGAGATTGCTTGGTTCAGCCCTAACCTTTGAGTCTGTTGAGGGTTATCCATAATGATCACCACTAACTGTACCTAGGGACTTGATGGCAGTTTGTAGCTCCAGAAAGGGAACCAAGAGGTTTTGGCCAATGTTTGCTGGAACTTCCAATAAAACGTCTTCCTGCAGGTGGAAAATGTGGTTCATTACTCATGAAATATTGGCCTGGAGCAGAATCACTTTTTGGCAATAGTTGTCCGAAGAGTTCTAGAGGAAGCCATTGCACAGGACCTTCAGTGACTCCTTAAACTTTTATAAACCTCAGAGTATGTCTACAGACCTCTTATCACTTAGAACTGACCATTTCAGTTTTTTTTTCCCCCAGGGTTTCCAAAATATTTGAAAATTGATACTGCATTACAAGTGATAACATTCTTTTTAGTATTAGGTATTAGATAGGTCCTACTTATGGACTGTACAAAGGGGTTTAATCCTATAAGGCTATTCTGTGTCATGGACTGTCTCCAATATGTTTAAACCCATTGCCATCAAGTTGATTGTTATAGGGTTGCCCCATAGGATTTTCAAGGCTATAAATCTTTATGGAAGCAGACTGCCTCATCTTTCTCCCACAGAGTACCTGATGGGTTTGAACTGCCAAACTTGGTTAGCAGCTGAAAGTTTTAACCACTGCACCACCAGAGCTCCTTCCAGTATGTTTAGAAAGTGTTTTTAGAAGAGATTGCAGCAAATAGATAATACTTAGCACGAAGGAAAGCAAAAAAGTTTTATGTGCTTGACCAAGTTCATTAAAAATCCATTTCTGATCTATTCAGTCCCCATGAGATTCAACTCTGGATACTCGGTTATAAAAAACCAGGACCTGTAGAAAGAAAACACATGAAACCAAGACTGACTATTGAAAGGAACAGAGTTTTCATAGCATTCTCTCCTGACATCATTACCTTTATTAAAAGAAATCAAGAAGCAAGACACCCTTCTACCTTTAGTTGTTGGTCTTTTGCTTGGGTTGCACTTGTACAGTAGCTAGGCCAAAGAATTAGAAATTGTCTTTATGTTACTGCTATTAGTTATTTAAAAAAATTTTATTTATGGTATAGTTTCAGACTTCCCCTCTCCAACTCACACAAATATCCCTTGATTTAATATATCTCTAAATGATGTATTTTATGTCTTCTTTGTTTTGAAAGAACATGTGATAGTGGCATTCTGTTAATGAAGCTTGGGACCTTTCACCACCATGGTTTTACCATCAACAAAGCCATTGGTCTGGTGAACCAAAGAAATTTTATTTCATCATTCATGGGGTAACATATTTGGGTTTTGTGTTTCTCCCTTGTAAACTGGAATGATACCTTCTTTTTCTCTTAAGAGTTATGAGAATTACTCGACTGATGTTTTGTATCTCGCTTGACTCTCCTGTACCCAGTTCCTTGTTTGCTGTCTCCTCTTAGAGCCTGATGCAGCGTCACCCCTTGGCACTGTTGTCAGCGGAGGCCCATGGAGCCCAGCAACAATGTGATGCCCACCCAGTCCCGCAAAGACTTGTGCAATGCAGTGGTCCTCTTAACACATGCAGAAACAAACTTTTGATCCCCCAAGCCCATTTCCAGTCCCCCACTTCCACCTGCACGTCTTCCAGTTGTTAG